GAGGCACTATGTCTGCAACAACATGGTAGAGGCACTATGTCTGCAACAACAAGGTAGATGCACCGTGGCTGCAACAAGGTAGATGTAGCGTGACTGCAACAACATGGTAGATGTAGCGTGACTGCAACAACATGGTAGATGCAGCGTGACTGCAACAACATGGTAGATGCAGTGTGACTGCAACAACAAGGTAGATGTAGCGTGACTGCAACAACATGGTAGATTCACTGTGGCTGCAACAAGGTAGATGTAGCGTGACTGCAACAACGTGGTAGATGCAGTGTGACTGCAACAACATGGTATATGCACTGTGACTGCAACAACATGGTAGATGTAGCATGACTCCAACAACATGGTAGATGCAGTGTGACTGCAACATGGTAGATGCAGCGTGACTGCAACAACATGGTAGTTGCAGTATGCCTGCAACAACATGGTAGTTGCAGTATGCCTGCAACAACATGGGAGATGCAGTATGGCTACAACAACATGGTAGACACCTACCTTGAGTTGATCATCTTGTGCTGAGAAGTTTTCAAAATCTCCACTGGTCAGTTGAGGTGAGTTAAGATCTCTTGTCACACCTTGTAATCTATCCAGTAGTTTATCCAATTCAGCTAAGAACTCATTTGGACAATTAGTAAATTCCACAGTCATTCCATATAATGTTCTATATGTAGTTGTCATCACTGTCTTCACCACTTCTCTGGCTATGATTTCCTCTGGTGTCTCCACCATTTCTGAGTCTTCAGGTTGCTTGAATTGATGAAACTGTGTCTTAATTTCACCAAATCTTGTTTTTAACTGTAATAATGTGGGATCACCAATTGGCATGGCACCTTTGCCCTTTAAATGGTCAGCTTGTTTCTGTAATTGTCTCACTTCATTTTCTCTTCTTGACATTTCCTCATGCAGATCCTACAGAATATAGATTAACATTCACAAAATAAATCTACACAATATGTTCCACATATTAGGATCAAGACCTGTAGCCAATGGCTAATTTAGTTTAGTTGTTCTAAAATTAACAAAGAAATTACAGAAAAACAAGTTATTTGCATTACATAGTTTCTGCAAGTTGTCAAGTTTAAGAAACATGTAAAGTGACATGAACGGTCAGAGCAAGTAGACTCCAAAACTACACCACCACCACCAGTCTGCCATTTTGAATCCGATCTGGAAAACTAAATTATGTGCATCGAGAGTCCATAATTTCTGATGCAAGTACCAAGTTAAAGAAACAAGTTAAAAGAATTCAAAAGCAGATTTAATGTAAAGTTTGTATTATGTATAGCAACACAGAAACAAAAGTGTTGAAGTTATTCATGCTGTTTATTTAAGTTGAATGATCTGACCCACATAATCATGAACCTATCACTATAATTGTTAATTTATTTATCATAAATTTCAACAAAATTGACCAAAATTGCTTGAAATCATGACTGCACATCCTTTCCCATTTTTCTGATGGTTTAGCCCTTAAATATGGTGAAACAAGGGAACAGTTAAACATAAAGTTAAATGGTGCCCTCTATTGATAACTTTTGCCAAAAAAATGTGAAATAATAAGTCAATCAAACAAAATTCTGAAAAAAAAGGCAAAAAACAATGAAAAGTATGGAATTAAAAAAAAAAAATTATGCACAACATTAAAATGGCTGCCAATCAACCATTCTGAATCTGATCATCTAATGAATACATGTACATATGTGTGACATAATATATGATGTATACATGATTGAGATATGCCACTGGACCCAATTTCATTAAAACAACATAGTTGAACTCTGGTGCCCTTTGTTATATAATATTACTCCCTTTATCATAGTTTGTTTCAATATAAATACGTATTGTCATAATTCATTTTGAATATAAACAAGTTTTAGGGTTGAACCAACAGTGGGAAATCAGTCTACCGAATGTCCTTAAAAGATGTAAATATCTTACAAAAACATTGGTGCCTTATTTGTTTAATTATTTTAAGAGACATAATTTCCAGCATTATTCAAAGTAATTCAGATATTTTAGTATAAAAACAAATGCCTCATCGCAGAAAAAAAGTGCTGCATTTAGACGTGAATAGATTCATAAAACATGCAAGAAAACAGAAATTCTTAGCTGGCTTTAGTCCAAGTATTTTGTACACATGTATGTCAAAAATTAATGATTAATGTTCTAATAGCTGCAACACATTCCTGTGAGTTTTCATTTGTCGAATTAATTTGTCAAATACAATTTTCTTTTCAAAATGTGGATGTAACGTTTTTCTTTTTCTGTATTTTTTCTGTATTGTTTTTGATTTGATAACTTTGAACTAAACAGATTTTCTATTAGCTTCAGATCTTGATCAAAGTTTGTCCATAGGAGTGCTTATATTGATTTTCTGACATCTTGTTTTCTGTAAAGATTTTATTGGTAAGTTTGCAAATGTGTATCAGACTGTGCAAAAAATCTTTCCATGAGTTGGTTTTGAAACCAAGTATAGTCTTGCCATGGGATTTGGGAGATACATTACCAAGGATATTATTACATTAATAAATCATTTGCTTCATTGAACACATACAACAATGCATATTTCCACTGAGATCAGTGACCTTTGATGCATATCACCAGTGATCAGTCAAGTAGAAACAGTCAAAATATTCTATCAGATTTTCTCAATTTTTGTATGATATTTTCATACAGGACATCTGTTGTTCAAACTCAGGGAAGACTTTATACTGTTGAATAGGTTGACCAAGTTTGGAATAGAATTAATAAAGTTATTGTGCACACAATGACAATTATTAACAACAACAACAACAACGACGACGACGACGCCGCCGCCAATGCCGACAACGCTGGACAAAAAAATTTTCCTTAATATACCTTTCCCTTCCATCTTTGATGGTACGGGCAAGGTAAAAATGGCTACCAGATGGCTATTATGAGTTTGGTCTAAAAACAAGCAGCCTCTCGGCTGAGATAGCTCCGCTGTTAGCAATGCACATTTCAATTAAAGAACAGAAGATATATTAGAAAATGAAGAATATGCATAATATCAATGCAATGGGACTTGCTGTTTTAAAAAAGAATTCAAAAATATAATTTTTCACCATAAATGATTGTGGTTTTTAACAAGAAGAAAATATCACTTTTTACCAAAAATGACAAAAATATTCACCAAAATTAGAAAATTAAAGATATCATCATGAAATGAACAAATTTGAGAGTAGTCCACATGTAGTACCTATATATGTAATATCAAAGCAATTGGACTTGCGGTTTTAAAAAGAAGTTGAAAATATCACTTTTTACCAAAAATGACAAAAATATTCACCAAAATTAGAAAATTAAAGATATCATCATGAAATGAACAAATTTGAGAGTAGTCCACATGTAGTACCTATATATGTAATATCAAAGCAATTGGACTTGTGGTTTTTAACAAGAAGTCGAAAATATCACTTCTTACCAAAAATGACAAAAAAATTTAAACCAAAATTAGAGAATTGAAAATATCATTACAAAATAAACAAATCTGAGAGAGATCCACATGTAGTGTAATATATATATGTAATATCAAAGCAATTGGACTTGGGGTTTTTAACAAGAAGTTGAAAATATCACTTTTTATCAAAAATGACAAAAATATTCACCAAAATTAGAGAATTGAAGATATGATCATGAAATGAACAAATCTGAGAGAGGTCTACCCAAGGTACATATACACCAAGTATCAAAGCATTCAGTTTTCAAGAAGAAGTCGAATAAGTAAAACATTGACACGGACGACGACGAGACGGACAATCAGTCATATGATAAGCTCCGCTCGACAAAGTCGACAGCGGAGCTAAAAAGTAAAACATTGACACAGACGACGGACAATCACTCATATGATAAGTCGACAGCGGAGCTAAACAAAATACATCAAGATCCCACAATATCCAATATATATACTAAGTTTGAACCATTCATACATGACCAGTATCCAGTTCCAGAATGTCAGAAATTCTCGATTTGGATGAATTCTACGAATAGTCTTGAACCAGATCGTGAAATGAATGAACCTGCATTTGTCTCTCAAGACACAAAGATCAATCCATAAATTCCTGTTTTCAGACTTCATCCAAAGAGGAACAAATAATTGTTTAATCTTTTCTCTGAACACAGAGCATAGTGATCATTTTGAAAGGTGAAACTTACAGGTACCATATGATCTGATACACGAATGCATGTTTTTCATTGGTCAATCACTTGATAGATAAGATCACAAGTTCTTTGCATATTTGGCAATTCATTCCTGATGTGACAAGACTTTTTGATAGTAAGCTTTCAATTTCACTCCCTAACACTGCTTAGTAAGATGTGAACAAGTTTTTAGTTAGTGATTTCATATTAGGATACCCATTGTGCATAGGTCTACAATATGTCATCTCCGGACTAAATGTTTGATCATTTTTTTTTACTCCGGAAATGAAATGACAGAAATAACGTTAGTATACTAATAATTCAAGCACTTGTAAATAAAAATAGTTTTACACTTTAATTTAACATCACCTGCTGAAAGCATCTACAGATAGCCAAAATAAATGAGGGGAAAAACATGTCAGCAGTCAATGTGTTCACAGCATTTTGTAATAAATAAACATAAATTATACTCACAGCCCAAAATGTTAGCATGGTAGGAAATGAGTGAATACTTTTGATGCACCCCATTGTAAACTGCATACAGTGTGAGGGGGATCCAAAATTATATTTATGATGGCTTACCAATATGCAAATTAGCTTTGTGATTACTTATTAATTGGTAATTATAATTGAAATCACATTGGAATGCTAAAGATGAACAGTACCTGCATTTTCTTGTCATCTCCTTTACATTCCTGTAGCTGTATCTCCATGGTAACAATCCAGGTCATTATATCATCTCTTTTATTCTTGTATTGATACCATTGAGGAACAACTGTCTTCAATGATTGTTTTTTCAACTCTGCATCATTTTTCACAGCTTCCCATCTGTTTTTGAGGTTGTCCACTTTCTGTTGCACTTCCTTTTTCAGTGCTTGGTCACTGCTTTCAATCCAACTCTCTCCTTTTAAAATTAATTCATCAATATCAGGCTGCATGTCATTGATTGCTTCATCCATTTCCTAGACAAGACAACCATTATACATTTATTTATCATTTTAATTTTATTGGTGATAAAGAGAATTTATATGTACATCAACATATCACACCCATTATGTGCATCAACATATCACACCCAGTATGTGCATCAACATATCACACCCAATATGTGCATCAACATATCACACCCATTATGTGCATCAACATATCACACCCATTATGTGCATCAACATCTCACACCCATTATGAGCATCAACATCTCACACCCATTATGAGCATCAACATATCACACCCAGTATGTGCATCAACATATCACACCCATTATGCGCATCAACATATCACACCCATTATGCGCATCAACATATCACATCCATTATGCACATCAACATATCACACACATTATGTGCATCAACATCTCACACCCATTATGTGCATCAACATCTAACACCCATTATGTGCATCAACATATCACACCCATTATGTGCATCAACATATCACACCCATTATGTGCATCAACATCTCACACCCATTATGAGCATCAACATCTCACACCCATTATGAGCATCAACATCTCACACCCATTATGCGCATCAACATCTAACACCCATTATGTGCATCAACATCTAACACCCATTATGAGCATCAAAATATCACACCCATTATGAGCATCAACATCTCACACCCATTATGTGCATCAACATCTCACACTCATTATGAGCATCAACATCTCACACCCATTATGTGCATCAACATCTCACACCCATTATGTGCATCAACATCTCACACCCATTATGTGCATCAACATCTCACACCCATTATGTGCATCAACATATCACACCCATTATGTGCATCAACATCTAACACCCATTATGTGCATCAACATATCACACCCATTATGTGCATCAACATATCACACCCATTATGTGCATCAACATCTCACACCCATTATGTGCATCAACATA